CATCTAGCCCGAAGCTCTTCTAATTCTCGTAATTCGGTAGTGAGCTCATTCAACTCGGACGTCTTCTTCGCAATTATTGCAATTAATTCATCTCTCCTTGATTCCTATAAGACAACATATACAAGTATTAGTACTTATAATATAGTTGCAGATGTAAATACTAGGAAAAGGGACATAAATTAATAAAATATTAGAGCAAAGATATGTACAAATCCTTCTGGTGATGCCCTATCCGTAAGAAATTTCGGATCTCTATATAATTTATTCATAGTGGTCCTCCTCCACTTTCCGGTATTTTTCACACAAAAGAGAGGCGGTAACCTCTCAATATCTGAAGTATACTCTAATTCCCCCACTTTTTCATAAAACCAAACCTAAAAAAAGAAACAATACATTAGCATATCCGTAAACAATAATCAATATAAAAAAGAAATGTTATCCAAAGTAATGTTAATGTAACTCACCAATAATACGGAGGAAAAACCACCCATGTACCCAGCATTTAAGCGCTGACCTAAACCCCTCATACTAAGAGATTTCTTTGCCTTAATCATCTCTTTGCTAAGAAAAGTAAACACCGCATGACACCAATTATATTTCTTCAAAGTAGATAATTGATCCGCATATCTAAACGCCCATAAGGGACATGTCTTACATGTCCGCGGGCATAATATGAAGCCGATAATGAAAGCCACAATAAGTTTCACACAAATTATAGGGTCTTTAGTAGTCATATCTACAATCATCTCCGCCATTCTATCGCGCTTCCCCCAAATCACCGTCTTCTTTTCCTCATCGACTTTCTTTTTGCCTTTACTACTACTCATCTTCTCTTTGAGAGTCTTATAAGTCTTTACAATTTGGGTGTAGATTGTATTAGCCGCTGTCCCATTCATTTTTATCGGCATTCTCTCCTTTGGTAAACCAGTAATTCGATGAATATAATCTATACCAAACGCACATTCTTTATTTCCAATTAGAAATGAGCATTTATCAGAATTGAAGTTTTGAATCAAGCAATCTATTGCTATTTGCTCATTACTCAATGATGCGGGTATCTTGAGGAAGTTGTGAAAAGGTGTTGTCTCAAGAGCTTTGACGTGCCTTTCATCCAATACTATACGCTTGTCAATTAGATCTCGAAAAAAAGATATATTGGACGGAATTCTCAATTGAGTTAACATAGCCCTACAAGAGAATTATAATTCGGAAGGAGTTAAAAATTAAATATATTTGGGCAAATTAAAAACAGCGAATGATATACTACATGTCAATGTACACGCATATAAACACAAACATTATGCCTAAAATAAATCTTCCATATGACAATAATCGCCCAAAATTCTAGAAATGCAACTTAGTAGATAGTTAACATGCATATGGAGCCCATCAAAATTTACTTACGAAGATGGAGGATTCATCGGTTTGGAAGATGAAGTCTTTGATTTTGAAGAAGTTGAGAATGTCGACCCTTCCAATTTGTTCGATGCCATGACCCGGGAGCTACGACTACGGCGAAGTGCGAAC